AAGTGCGCTATAATTATAGCGCTTACGCCAGCCAATCGGACGAATTTTCATCCGTTTTTTTGTTTTGTCGGTTGCGCACTAATGGTGCACCGTACCTTGCACCGCCTCATTCAATTCAATCATTCAATGGTCGCATGCATCAATAAAAGACGGGATCAGATTGAGGCTAACAGGGGCAAAAATGATATGTATGCATAGGGTGAACTAGCCAATCAGGTATCTATTTTATATGAGTCTATTGATGTTGTATAAGGCTGGCTAATAAAAGGGCGCGCATACTCGGAGATTGGAAAGTCTTATCAAATTTGGCAGAGTTGTCATGAAAGATACATGCGCGGGTAGCGATTGAAGCTTGTTGGTATACCTAGCGTTCCATCACATAGGTAGTGCTTAAATCTATTCGACGCCGACGGACATGATGGCCGTAACCAACGGCGTTTGTACTACCACATCTGCCAGCCTCAATGGCCGGGAACATACATGGGCGCGGGAAGCGATTGCTATCAAGTAGCACCTGACTAATTATACGCATATGCAGCGATGCCCAAAAAGAACTATTTCGGACGGTGCTATGCTTCTCGTCTCTCCAAGACGTGGAGAATGTTTATATTCCCGCCGTCGCTCAAAGCATCGCCAGATAAATTTATCTCTACATACATTTCAACGTCGTTATGGAAGCCCTCAAGTCCTTGAGCTCTCTCCTTTTCCCTGGTCAGGCTCCAACGCCATCTGAAAAGCTCGACGAACCACCATTTGCTCATGCGAACCCAAGCAAAGCCATCAAGGCATATTTACTCGAACGGAGCGCCGAATTTCGAGAGATTAGCGAGCTCCGGCAACGAGTCAGTGGCCGTAAGCACAGATCCCGTAGATAGCACTGACGCGTGGAATAGGGATGGGACAACCCCGAGGGGGACTCTTTCTTTCAGAAGCAGCGGCAAAACGCCGACAAGTCCGACGACCGGACAGCTGCGTACTTCTTCGAGCTGATGAGACGCATCGGACATGAGCTTCATCGATCTACGGGCGCCTTCGCTGTACAGCCCGGCTCGCCGCATCCAAACATCCTCGACATGTGCATGGCGCCAGGGGGGTTTCTCGATGTCGCCCTGAGCAAAAGTCCGACTTCCAGAGCCTTGGCTTTTAGCTTACCCGCATCTGATGGTGGCCACAAGGTCCTACTCCGCATGACGTCGAACGTTGAGATAAGGTATCTCGATGTCACCATGCTCGCGGCAGATATGGGGGTCGAGGAAGTTCCCAAGGACCACCCCGATGCCGATAGATTCCTACCACGCCAGCTCGAGCCGCGCCAATCTTTCGACCTGGTCTTCTGCGACGGTCAGGTTCTTCGAACGCATGCGCGGGCCCCGTATCGAGAGCGGCGAGAAGCGAAGAGGTTGTCGGTCACGCAGTTGGCTCTTGGACTCGAGCACCTGCGACCAGGGGGGACCATGGTTGTTCTTCTTCACAAGCTTGAGGCATGGGACACCGCAAATCTCTTGCGGATATTCCACAAATTCTCTACCGTGAAACTTCTAAAGCCCAAGTCAGGCCACGCCAAACGCTCTTCCTTTTATATGGTAGCTACGGACGTCCGAAGTTGTCACCCTCAGGCTGTTCGAGCGATCGATATTTGGAAAGCTGCATGGAAAGCAGCCACATTCGGCTCGGACGAGGAGTATCAGCGCATGTTATGGAACGGCGAGCTTGGTGCGGAACAGCTGCTCGACGACTTCGGACTGGAGCTCATGGCGTTGGGAAAAGAAATTTGGAAAGTCCAAGCAGACGCACTCGCGAAGGCGCCTTTTATTCAACATACGTCAGCTAGCCGGTAGTGCGAATACATCACATAAAAATAGTATGTACGCCGCTGTTTTGATTAGTATTAATAAGTACAGTAAGTCGGCGTTCTTCTTTGGGTTATTTACTTGATCTGGACTTTTCAATATGACCGGCGGTTTTGTTAGTATGGCAACTGTGACATGATATCGTTGCTTCGCGGTCAATCAATTATTTAGGGGGTTTGTCATACGGGAGGGCGGACCAGAAAATAAGAACAGCTCCAGGGTACCGAGAACAAGGGACGAAGCATCTACAGAGCCCTGTGATATGACATCAAAATACAATCACAGCGTCAGAGGCTTGCAAATGACTAGGTTAGTATATTACCGCTTTCAAATTAATCTATATTCGGAAATTACCCAAGTCGTCATCCAAACGGTGAACCCCTATTAAACGTATCTCCCGCTAGACATCGGCACGAATCCAACACTTCGAATTAAGGCACACCTCATGCTCTAGAGGTTCGAGATAACCATATCTTATCCTGCGAGAAGATCTGTAGTTTATACAGCTCCTGAAGAATTGGAGTTTTTAGCCGTTTCTCTCTCTCGCCAAGTACGCCAAGTAAATCTGGGTGCGGTACTCCCAGAATGCCGCAAAGGTACAGCCCGCGGAGGGCCCTCCTCTTGTCCTTTTGCGGTAGCCCCGTCTCTCCAGCTGGGCCGAGGATTCAAATTCGTATGAGATATCGGAGGCGTAGGTCGCGTAGCCTTTTCCGGCTGCACCCGCATAGATGCAGTTCGTGAAGCCCCCTCTTGCTGCTCTTTCGCAGCCATTCGATCTCTCCAGGCATATCGGGGACGAGCCTCTTCGCGTTGGGTAGGTCTAGACTGCTTGGGCCAGGCTTGTTGTCGCTTTGTCGCTTCTCTTTGATCTGCCGCTTCACGCATCTTAGCCCAGCTCCGACGAGAAGCTTCTTGCTTCTCTTCGATTAAGATGGCTTTCAACCGTTCCTGTGCTGCTTGTTCCCGTTCGGCCCTAGCTTTTCTTGCCGCCTCTTCCGATCTCTTCTCTGCTTCCTTTTCCTTTTGCCTGCGGAGCCTATCTTTTGCGGCCTGTTCTTGTTGCTCACGGGCTCTCCGCGCAGCCTCCCGAGAGCGCTCTTCAGCCTGCCGTGCTTTCTCCTTTCTAATCTTTTCATTTTTTTCTCTTTCTACAGCAGCTCTTATTGCTTCTTCCATTCTACGCGCTCTCTCGGATTCCGCCGCCTTTTTCTCTTCTTCTGCTTCTGCTCTAGCGGCTCGCCGTTCTTGTTCGGCTCGCCTCGCCTCTTCAAACCGAAGCACATTTTCTCTCCACGCCTTGTAGCTAGCCCACTTATCCCGTAGTTCGGGGTAATCAACATCGTATGTCTGCCGCCTATCCTTATCCGTCAAGTATTCGTAAGCCTCTCGGACCTAAGTTACAAATGGGAATCTGGTTAGAAACAAGCCATCACCGCCGCAAGCTTACAGGAGCGAACCTTGCGAAATTCATAAGCATCGATAGACTGGCCAGGAGCCTGTTTATCCGGGTGGTACTTTATCGCTAGCTTTCGAAAAGCCGCCTTGATATCTTGAAGGCTAGCCTGCTGTGGTATCCCTAGATCTGCATAATAGTCTGGGACCCCAGGCTCGCACGGGTTGAAAGAACTCATCCTCCGGTAAGACGTCTCTTAAATATTTGAGGTTAAGTTTGTCGGTGATGCCGGACCACCCCCTAAAGTACCTATGATGCCTCCAGTCGGAAGTTACGCAGGTCTGAAAGAAACGAATAAAACAGCCCGAAGCGTGTACTGATACTATTGGTCTTCCGCGGCCAGCATCTGCCTGGTTCGACCTTGGTTGGAGAAGAACCGCTGTCACCGGTGACACCGCCATGTAAGGTAGCATCCAGTTGTGATACAGTTTGCTTCCAAAATCGCAATCCTTGTTGCTAGATCCTGTCAGTTATTCGAACTTGTGCCCGTACCTGTTTCCAACCTTACTAGCTCACGTAAATAGAAGAGCGAAAGTAAGATAGAAATACATTCTAGAAACACTTGATCTGCATACCTATAAGGTTAGGTATATACTGATGGCGTGTCTGAGAATCTATCCTGTGTTTTAAGCTTGGGATGCAGCATAGAGTAATCCAATCATACAGTCATGGCTGACAGAAGGATAGTATGAGAACAGACGACTTATATACCCAGGTACTGATTCAATTATCCAACTCGCGGCGCGCACTCAGTTAAATCAGGTACCTAAATGCGACTAATGCTGTAGGGGTTTTCCAGAGCGAAGCCCGACTCATAAACGATTCCTATTTCACCCTATAATTTATAGACCCTATAGGAAAGGTAGATGCTTTTTCTATTAATCTGCAGCGCATATTATTCGAGATACAAGGGAGCATCCGGTCCATGTCCGTATAGTCTTTTTGCGAGTGTTTGTCTATCCCTTTAATATACCGCCATGTCTTCGTGGTAACTAATGGCTTTCTACATATTCCCAGTGGTTTTGGGACGAGTCTAATTCGTATTATGCGATTGGACAACCTCACTCTGTAACTACCCGCTAAGTATCTTGCTTCCTATACTTGAAGCTTTGTCCAAGTCAGATTTGCGTGCATTATGTGCTTGTCACGAGGTGGAACCAAACAGCGTGGAACTCTAACCTAACTACGAGAGTCTACGTCTATACATACTGAACATGTCCTTTGTTCTAGATGTCTCATCTAGAATCCTAACTGCGCTCCAATCATGCAAATGGGCCAGAAGGAATCTACTTCTCACCGTAGAATCTGCCTATTGCTAAGAGGTACAGATGGCGACCGGAGTCGTGGCACGGCGAATGGACTGTATCCCCGGTTTGAAATCATCAAGGATTTATTTCCCAATATAAGTGGCAGACTGGTCATTTACAACAAGTAGTCGATAGTCGATCTTATTTATACTAGACTGTAGGGTTTGATCTAAATCTAATCTCTTTAGCCTCCTAACACTCCCGCTCATGGCCTTCGCGTAGCTAATGTTACGTTTATGGCGTGGTCTATATCCTTCATCTCGCATATCCGGAACAGTCGAACCTCAAGCTAAACTTATAACTCTCCGTAGATAAGATAGGATGTTTCGTTCGGTAGTCCGTATTACCTACAGCTTGGCTGAAGCCTCAGGTCGCGAAACCTCGCATATTAACCCGGTTCAAGCTTTCTCCTAGGCTATCATCACCTAGACTGACGCTTTGATAAACTCGTCGCTGAAAGGATAGTCTGTATAGCCCTCTCTGCTTTCTGGGATGTAAAAGGTACCGCGGTTATAAGGGGCCAAGGGCAGACCCTTCTTTATCCGAAACGGCAAGTCCGGAGTAGAGATGAAATACCTGCCAAATACTACGGCGACTTCTTTATCCTTGAACCGCTCGTCTACTATCCTCTTCGCAATATCCGATCGGAGGCCACCCGCGACGAGGACAGGGGACGTATTGTCCCACGCGTCGATTGCAAACGCAACCTTCTCGGTAGCTTCTAGGTTTGCGTTCTCGTCGATGGTCGACGATTGGACGACGTGCAGATACGCCAGCTTTAGCTTCTTCAGCTCCTGGATTACGTATGTGAATTGCGGAATCGGGTCCTCCATACGCATCCCTTGGAACGTAGACCAAGGGGATATACGAAGCCCAACCTTTTCAGCACCGATAGCATCCACGACGGCGCTAGCGACCTCGACTGCGAAGCGGGCGCGATTTTCGATGCTACCGCCGTACCGGTCCCGCCGGTGATTAGACACATCCTGGATGAACTGGTCGATCAGATATCCGTTGGCCCCGTGGATCTCGACACCGTCAAAGCCCGCCTCGACCGCGTTACGAGCCGCCTGCGCGTAATCGGCTACGAACGACCGGATCTCGTCGATCGTTAGTTCTCTCGGGACCGGCTGGCCTTCCTCATACGGTATGGCGCTGGCGGAAATAACATCGGCGCCGCCGGCCTCGAGCACCTCCGGCTTAGCAGCGCGGCCCAACGCCCAGAGTTGTACGTATATGTAAGAGCCCTTGGCGTGGACAGCGTCCGTGACCTCCTTCCACGCTGCTATCTGCTCTTCGGACCAAATCCCCGGGACGTTGAGATACCCCCCTGCTCGCCTCGTGATGAAGGTTCCCTCGGTAATGAGCAGAGTCCCCGGTACCGAGGCGCGCTGCTCGTAGTATTCCTTCACGAACGGGAGAGGTACGTGCTCCACGTTGGCGCGAAAACGTGTCAAGGGCGCCATTATCAGGCGATGCTGGAGGGTTACATTTCCCACTTTCAGCGGTTGGAAGAGGCGCGACGGTTGAGCCATCTTGTTTCGTCGAGGACTGAGGTCGAAACTCGAAAGGAGATGAAGAAAATGACGAGCGGAAATGAAGAATGGAAAACGAAAGGTACGGCTCGGTTGACCACGTTATATGACCCTCGCCTTCAGGTACAGATTCGGGTCTTGCTAATCGACCGAATGTTCTAGGTCGGTTCCGCGCATCTTCCGAGAAGCGGTTGGCCGATTAGTGGGTAGGTTTCCGGGAATATTGCCAAAATCTCATTAGTGGCGTATTGCCCCGAATATTTACTGCGTTAGCTGCGGTGGTATCCCGATTAGAATTTCCACAGAGGTAGCAAATCAAAGTCGGTGAATTTTTTAAGGAGTGGTATAAACGGGTTAAGTGGATTAGCAATGACGGTTTCAGTCTGTTGGCTGCTGGAGTTAAGCCCGCCAGTATGATTTGTAAGCTTCGTAACCTACATTAGAAATGGTCTTACGCAGCCGGCTCGGAATGACGCTACGCATCTAATACATGCCGTGATCGATACGCTTTCTTTGTATTAAATGCGTTCCCGGGACAGCAGATGGCTACCGGTCTGACTAATCGTAACAATGGTGAAAGCTACTAAAATACCATCCCGAATATCTATCGAGGAGCTATCATTTTATCATAATGACCTTGCCGACGCGTTGCAATGGCGGCTTGTCTCGCTTCGCGTTGTGCGTCTGCGCCTCTGCCTTGTGACATGTAACCTACCAATTATCTAAACATGGGATGGGGCTAAAAGGCAACGCCTGTTACATCAAATAGCTGCCTCACAATTCATCGGAACGCTAACACGTATCGTCCTACCTTCAAAGCTCCAGCAAAAATTGAACAAGGCTGGCCGCGATAGCCCTAAGAGGCGGTTGGTTAGATGTATCCCCCGAAATAGTACAATATGCGTGGCAACAGGTGCTTGACGATCCTCGTCCTCCGTTTCCATATCCGTGAGATCAATGATAAATGAGGATGGCCATGCTGGGCGTGCTGCTGCTGAAAATTAATTCGAATATGAAGTACCAAGTTCCTGGTCCCGTTCGTCGATATAACTACCCGTAGAGATGCCTGTAAGCGACGGAGAACAGCCGTCTGGCAGATTAGGAAACCCTCAAGCAAGAGACTCTACAGAAGGGTACGTTTGAAAGAAATCTAACACCTCCTTTGCTAGATTAAGACGCCAGCACGAGAAAGGATGAAATGCTATTTTGAGAGATTAGGGGGGCAGTCTCCTTTATGTAGGCTGAGAGCCCCATCCTATTTCGACCTCAGATGCCTGGTACCTGGTCTTTTGGACACTCACCTTGGTTTCGCTGAACTTGAGGACTTTAGATTACCCAGTGTGATCTTCCCAGGCCTTAGTAGGGACGCACCGTTGCCTGAGTCTGTAAAAGCAACCGCGGCTGGATCAGTAGACACTTCGGATTTTGCCTCTTGTAAGCGTCTGCTTCTCCGCGGCGGTACAGCAGGCTCGGGAGCAGGCACGGCAGGCAGGGCATTGGCCCGTAACTTGGAGGCATTCTTTCGTTGTTGAGGGCTAAGCTCTTTCATTATGGGCGCTTTTGATACCTTCGTTGGATGAACTAGCCCGAGAGCCGTGCCTGCTGTTGGCCGAACCCGTCTGTCCTCCGGGGACGGCACTTTTTGGTTTGGTCGTGGCCTTTGCCCCGTCGCAGAGCGAGCATCCTGTCTGCCCTCTCTAAGGCGGCGTCGTGAATTTGGTGCTGAGGATGAGTGATTCGCCAGCGAGTTCCACGAGTCAGGTCAGATATATTAGATTTGAGGCTCACCCGGCCGTATTGTCGACTTAACCTATATGCCCTTGTAAAGCCACACTTAGCCACATCAGCCACGTAATATATTTCACCTAAAACCACAAAAAAAAAAATTTTGCGCTCGACTCGGATAAATATCCTTAAAAAAAGATTTATTAAAATATTTTAAATTTAAATTAAAATTAAAATTTAATATAGTACCTTTGTATATACTCGAGGAATTTGTGGCAATAGGCGAGGGGAGCAATGCGCGTAATCTCCTGGCGAGAGTTGTCAGAAACAACCATTCAATCTTGATGTACGTCATGGAATAATGGTAAATACAACTTACCGTAAAATCTGAGACTTGACCTCTACTGATACAACGACTTGGAGACGGTGCTATCTCCTTGCTGGCAATTCTTGCGGCAGCCTACATGGGTTAATACCGCTGTTCAACCCCGTTCGAACCATCACCAACATGTCTTTTAGGGCACCAAGTGTTGCGCTAATTAATATCATAGGAATCAAGTTCAATGTGAAAGTACCATTTGGCAATAATGCCATCTATAGATAGGAGATCTAGTGTGGCAAGCCTAAAGATGTCAAGAATGCCTATGGTAACTTGTACTCTCAATCTGGATGCGTACATGTAAGTTCGATGGTGCTGTTACAGCTCATTCCGTCTACATCTGCATACGCTGAAAATATGACATTATCTATGCCGGAAAAGACATAAACGAGTATGGTTGTCCCAATGAATTCAACATCATCTCGTCATTAATACACTCTTTCGTTGATTTTCTACGGGCATCCTACAGCATTGCTATCACAGCTTTCTGTCCTATTCACCTGATTAATTGATTCGCAGTTTTATTCACAGTGATAAGCCATACTCTGCAGGGGACATCAGCTCCTGTTCAATACCTATACGTGGATCATGGCCGGCGCGGCCATAGTATCTGAACTCTACTGATTTAATTTGAAATCCACACGCGACATTCATTTAAACCCCCTTCTTTACCCCGGAAGCGAGTAGATATGCGCCGTCGCCGTGCTCGCCCTTGCAATGACCTTGGACATAAACAATCTTGGTGCTAAACCATGTCCCCGTCCTATCCGAACTTGGTTGTAATGCGTGATCTCTTTGTACATCCTTATAGTTTGAAGTCGTCCACCTGTTCTGTTCTGTTCCTACTTGGTGTTGAATGCTCAAGGTAGATACTTTGTTATTCTTTCCAGGCACATTCCATATCCACATTCATTTCTGGTGAGCTTTCATCGGATTGATCCTTAGATATATTAAACCAATTCTCCAACCTGACTCAATCTGTCTCTGGCATCAGGGCACACGACAGGCATGTAATACGTACACAGTTCAGGATTTATTTCAATTTATATTATATTTAGCCTTGAGGCTCTGAAAGCAGGATTGTCTTTCAAGTCTGTGCTGACGAACTTGACCTGATCGCGGCTACACGATTGACACGATATATAAAGGATTGCTCGTAACTATTACTATCAGTGCAGCTATGCCGGATAAAGCAACTTTGTGTTCACGCATTTGATTCGCAAGTTTAATATTTGCGTGTAGTAGAGCGGCAACATTGGTAGTACGGCGGTAAACTGGTAGCATTGCTGGTATCATTGTATCTGATCTTATACATTGATATTAAATCTACGTGGCTACTTTGGCCGTTTACAGCGGAATTTCTATCTGTTGGTTCCTAATACATCTGTGGCTTGAATCTCGCGAAGAATATGGACGGCACAAAGATGTTGGATCCATCCCCAACGCGCAATCCAACAGCGTGGTCAGAGTCTGAAATCCGTGTCGCGAAAGATACGGAAAATACAAAAATATTAAATGCCCACCACAAACCAGTGGCGTGGTCGTACAGTCTGAAAGCCGCCGTGAGGGGAAAAAAGGAAAATTCCTATGTTAACTGTTAGTCGGGCTCGAGTTGTGCAATCGCCAAAGTCTTACCTGCAATCCAGTACTATGGTCATATAGTTTGAAATCCGCCCCGAGGGATATAAACAGTATAAACTTGCTACAGCCTCGACTTGCAATCCAGCAGCGTGGTCGTACAGTCTGAAGTCCGCCGCGAGGGGAAGAAATGAAAATTGCTATATGCTAACTGTTAGTCGGGTTCGAATTATGCACCTGTTAAAGTCTTACCCGGAAAGATCCGTCTCCTGTTCTGTAGCTTATCCCCGATTGAACTCGCCACGAAAGCCGTCAAGTTCTTCGTAGGGGAACTTGGCGTGGGATATGCGATCTGTTAAGTATTCGCTGTCACAGCCCTGTCATTTGGCTTCTTGTTGGCAAATTCGGGTTTGCGGGAGGCCCCGTGAATTATCGGTCGGTAATTTGTAGTTTCGGATCGTTAATGCATCACAATAGGGAACTCGGTGTTATTGGTATCGAATGGCTTGTTGGGGTTTGTTGTTAAGCTACCATAATATAGCCCTCAAGTATGCCTCCTTTTCGAGGTCTACCTCGTGATACAATATCCGAGCTTCTTTAAGGTATTACCTAGGTAGATAACCTAGTCGTGCGAGGAGATTGCTCTCGCTACATGGTGTATGTTAAGCTGCTTCCGGAATTGGATTATATCATCCTCGTCATCTTTGACTAGCTATAACTCGTCGCTATCAAGAATCAAACCCTCTTCATCCATGTAACAGCCAATAGAGAAATAGTCCAAACATAAGCCCTTTAGGATACCCAGGGTCTCAGCCCAGGTACCGTCCAAAAGGTCCATAACATGTAGATCCAGGTGCTTGAAGACGGCCGGATTACAACCATTTAAAAACCGGCTTAGGCATCCATCCCATGTGGAAGATACAAGATTCCAGCTGCACTTTCTTCAGGTTCGGCCAATATCTTTGCGGAATCACGTGTTCGAAAACGCATTCCAATGGTTCCGGGATGTAATTTAGATGGATTTCTTCGATGGGTAGTTCGGTGCGATTCAGTCTCGACGGCGCGTTCCGAGTCGCTCTCAACCCGACGAGTCGGCGAGACTGCACCTAAACTTGGCCTTTGATCAGCATCATCCTCCAAGCGCGCGGAGATGTGACGTGGCTGCGGAAGCTCGCGGTTCAAAAGATGTCTTACCTGTTTTGTAGGCCTCGCCGCGAAACCAAGCTTTTGCGTTGGCCGATTGAAAAGGCTCTTTGAACCTCGGTCGCAAAGTTGTTCGCGTAGTATTAGTTAAGCTGGGAATATTAACGAGTTTAAAGCTGATGTAATAGGAATCCTGACGAGCCTCGTAGTGTTGATGTTGTTGATGTTGTTGATGTTGTTGATGTTGTTGATGTTGTTGATGAATTTACAGATTGTGGGAATCACTGCGCACAGCATACCCGTCGCGTGGGCGGTAGCTGCCTGGTACAAACGTTTTTGCGAAGGAAACTGCAGCCTACAAGTCCGTGCACAATACGTTTCATTACTTTTAGGTGTCGTAGGTGACAGCGCAATTACTTTACAGCGAAACTACCTAGGTACTTTACTGCGCATCTACTATCTCGCTCTGTTTTGGTGTCGCAAGCAGCGAGAGCAAGTCGCCCCTTAGAAACGCTACGAGACATCGCGTAACATGTGGCTAATCTTCACATCGTCACTCTGACTGACGCGTTTGTGGAACGCTTGTTAATTCTATCACGTAGAAAACGATGGCACTGTAAAATTGCAAAACTTGTTCGTATTTATAACTCTGCTACTAATTCCATTTACCTCTCGTGACAAATAACTATGCTTCCACCAATACATATCCGCGCTAAGTAAACTACAAGGGCGCCAAGATGCAGCAGAGATCAGATGAGCCAGATTGGACAGCATGGGGTAGAGGATGCTCGTACAAGTAGCAAGGTCGAAAGGTATCGCACCCCCCCACGGCGGAAGACGCATGTGGGAGACAAGTAGAAACAGATTACGCGCCGCCCAAGAGGCGACAGATGTGAAACACGTAACTAGGAAACTTCTTCGCCGCACAATAGAGTATACTAACAGAACACTAACAGAATGCTCATAGAAACAGAAGGGTTCGACGAGGCAGGCCAGACGACTCGTCGTATGTCGTAATCATCATTCATTGTAATCGTCGTCGGCGCCGGCATCCCATCTCCTGTTTCGCTTGGGCTGAGGCTTATAAACAACTTCGTCGCTGGGTTCGGCAAGGTCTAAGAGCATCTGGGGAATCTTAAACTGACTAAGATCCCTGTCTACTGCTGCGAGGCTGAACGACTTGGTCTTGTTGCTCAGCTTTGACGCGTCTTCGATCCACTCGCGAAATTCGTTGTTTTGCATCATGAGGAGAAGTTGGGTTACCTTTACGGGGGTGACGACCTCGGGATGCCGGAGGAGCAAGTGATAGAGAACCGTGGTAGGGTTAGACATGGATGCCGGAGTAGTAGCAGGGTTGCGATGCGTCTTGGGCATGATTTTGAACATCGGGTGACGGCAGAAGGGACACGTCACGGTGAGCTTGACTTTTATCTTGTTACCGTATTTGTCGCGCCCGGACGCGTCTACTTGGAGATAACCCGAAGTATTAAGGCCGACGTAAAATGCGCCAGGGCCGACCGACCCGCTGTAGCAATTCTTCACGGTCTTTTCCAATCTGTCCATTGAAAAAGCCGGGGTAGTGCCATGGAACAGGCCAATCATGTCGTCGGTGGAGAAGCGTGGCGCATTACCCGAGAAGGTCGGACCTTTGAGCACGCTACTCAGGACGACGCCACGCGTGTCCACGTACGACAACTTCATCTGGCCGTCCTTGGGACCCGCCGTGGTGAATGGTGTGGGTTTGTCGTACCAGAGACCGATATCCATGGGGTGCAAGCTGAGAACGAACGAGACGGGGGACATAGCTTTTCGCGCGGCGGAGACGAAAGACATGCTTTGGCACTCTTTGATGATGGTCGAGTGCAGGTCGTTGTGGGCGTTGCGAAGTAGGCAAGGCGGTGCATGCACGCCGCAGTGATGGGGGATATGAGTGTTCCTGCTGGGGGATGCCCACTTATTCACGCACGAGTTGCGGTTGCTATTGTTTCTGCTGGACTCGAAAATGACGTGCTTGGGATTGTTGCAATACGACTTGTGGCACAGATGGGATACCGTCAGCTGCGTGCCCGATGCGTCTTTCGACATGAGGTCTGCCACGTGGTCCGCTGATTCGAGCTTCAGAATCTTGACGAGGGGCATCTGTATCTGGCAGCCGTGGGAGCATCCAACGCTGATCTCGAATAGCGACCGTCTGCCGGGATTCGACTCCATCACAGAATCCGCAGCTTGCAGTAGGACGAGCATGGGTAGGTTGGCACGCGTCATGGGAAAGGCGGTGAAGCATATATCATCGTCGAAACCACCAGCAAGCGCAGTGAGTGGTCGGGAGATATTCTTCTTGATCTTCGCAATAGATTCAAATATGCACTCGGCTCGGGTTCTGTTTCCGTTTTTGCACGGCACGAGACCCGCGTTCTTGGGCGCATCGCGGCCGGGTTTGGATGGGGCAACGATATTGGAACCTGATGTCTTTCAGGGTAAAAAAAAGTTAGCCAACAGTTCCACGCCTCTGCGAGGTGGAAGGAGCTACGAGGTTACTAGAGGCCTCGTAGCCGATGAGAACTCACCCACGCGATGGTATTCAAGCTGACTGTTCTTTGGTCGTCCGATTCAGCTATATCGGATATCCCCGAGTCCGACCGGCAGCCAAAGGATACCGAGGCTGTAGACGCCTAGGTAGAGTGAGAAACTAGATGCAGTAATGCGAATAAGCAAGGTACTTACCTGACTATCTGTTCGCTGGATTTTGCTGGGACCCGCGAGAGATGCCCCGCCGGATTGTAGGGTCTGCAACGGGTTAGACACCAAGTAGAAACAAGACACAAAAACGGGGATGCAACACACTGTATGTTCTTCGCGCGGGCGCTTGTTGGATATCGTACGAGGATGGGGAATATATGTCGTTGGGCCGAGAGTAGTCTGTAGCTGACTCGAGTTAGGCGCGAAGCGACAAGGCGAGACGAGAGAAGGAAGGATTACTTACAGATCCTTGTGCGTGATTCACCAACTTCGGGCGGCTATCGCATTGGGCACTCTACAAATTATTAGTTAGACGGCACAGCGACGAGACACAATAGGACGAAGGGTATCACCTACTAAGATTTCTTCACTGTCGGAATCACTTTCACAAAGCGCCGCTGCTTCTCGATGCTATGATTCATTTCCGTCAGACAAAATAGAGATAAAATGTAAAGGGCAATGGCGTTACTTACCTTCTCCCTGTTTAGTACTGCACGCACCTTTGCCAACAGCTCTGTTTCTCTGCCGAGTTCAACTTTTACTTTAGGGTCTGGCTGAGTATATGTCTCTACCGAAGGAGTAACGCAAGGCTGAACGGCAATCGTTGATTGACCAGTAATCTCCGGCTCGTCATCGCTCTCTATATAAATAATGGTTGGCTGAGCGGTCCTCTTCGGCGGAGGACTGACGGTCGATCGAACAAGGATCTCTGATTCGTCAATGCTGAGTGGCCGGGCATGACTCTTCGGCAGGGGGGTAATGGCCGACTGAACAATAGTCGACCGGACGACACTCTTTGACCGAGGAATACAGTCCGGCTGAGGTGTAATGGTCGACCGAACAAGGATAGCTGGCGCGTCAGCACTCTCCGACTGAGTCTCGCTCTTTGGCTGAACGGCAATGCTCGGCTGAGCAGTCTGTGTGGATTCGAGTTAGATTTAGGAGTAACGAGGAAGCAATATGACTTACAGGGCTGTACTCGCGTTTTACCGCATCGCGACTCGACCCCGCATCGGCTCTGGGGCCCTATGATAGATGCGAGTTAGACATTGCAAATGGACACACAAAAGGCACGGAACATGACTTACTGGGCTTGCTATCGGCGGGGGAGGCGGGGGCCGAGCAGGGTCGAAAGTCAACTCGTCGAGAATCGATTCAAACTTGGAAATGGGCTCCTCCACACCGTAGGATCCGGGGAGTTTCAGCGGAGGCTGCGGTCAAGTCAGATTACAAGCAGCAACGCGGGAGATCGGAACGCTTACGTATGGTTTGGGAGGATCCTCCCCTTTCATTCCGCGATTGACTCTGTTTCGAACGACCACCTGAGCGTCTAGAAGAGTCACCCTAGCCTTGCCGCAGATCCCAGCCAATCTTTCTTTGACGGCGGCGTGGGCATATCTGTATTGGCAGGTGTAGAGGATTAATTCCTCTTCCGACTTTCTCAACTTTTCAACCTCCTTGAGCAGTTGAGCAACGGTAGAACTAGGGTTATTGCCCGCGGTTTCAGCCATGTTGGATAGCGAGCAATGGCGATGCGATATGACTGGGTATAGAAGAGAAGAGGAGGGAATTAGGGGTATGGGAGGCAAGGGTAGAGGAATGAAGAGTGATGGGAACGAGGAATAAGGGAATGAGTGGTATGGGGAACTAGAAGAGGTTCTTGTTAGCGACTGGCACTGCCAAACATGTCTACAGAAGGAACGGGGATGGAAAAAGTTAAAGTATTCGCGCAGCTGCTATCAAGATCGGGTGGAGAAAGTGCTACGTACCTTCGAATGTTGATTATTTTCAAACGACACCGCGTTCGACTTGCTCTAGGGCAGATGTTTCGTGCGATAGCAATGAGATCGGGGCGAGACGGGGACTGGAAGAGGTTTTTGTTAGCATGTAGAAGGAGCGCGGACGGAAAAGTTAAAGTATTCGCGCAGCTGCTGGCAAAATCTTTTGGAGAGACCAGACGTCGCACTAATGCGAGTCGTGATCATGTGTGCTGATGCCAAAGAGATGTACTTACCCGAATCGCGGCGGAGAGATGGTGTTCGAGGAAGTTGGTACTGTGGGTTCTGTATTAGTACAAGCCTGAGAAGAAGACGCAATGGGGTGGACTTACCGTAAACTCCCATGTTGATGATGGCGGGGGAAGGAGTCTACCGCCAGCAGGCATCTGGCGTCATATTGAGTTCGAAGGGAAGGGGAGAGGTTGAGGGAGGAGACAAGAGGTAGTTTCTGAGGTATGAGGTGAAATAAGATTCGACATCGCGGTAGAGCTCCTTCCATGTTGGCAACCCCAAGCAGTTTTTCTCGTCTTGCTCGGGACGCTTACGGGTCAGATCGCAGATTATTAGAAGTCATGGTATGAGAAGTCAAGGTATGAGAAGTCAAGGTATTAAAAGTCAAGGTATGAGAAGTCAAGGTATTAAAAGTCAAGGTATTACAAGTCAAGGTATTAAAAGTCAAGGTATTAGAGAGCAATCAATTCTTATTGGTGGCCGCAGAAATCAGACCAAATAAAACACGCGTGAGAAATGCCAGCTAGCTATGTCATTGTACATGAAGGAGACCGGTAGGCTCCGCGATGAGTACTATGAGTATTATGAGTATTACGTGCTACGTACAGTTCACTCCGTCGGATCCTCACTCCGAGCAATGCCAAGTTCCATCAATCACCACTTAATGTCGTCGTCGTCGTACTTCATGGCAGTGCCCCAAGTGCCGCCTCCCGCGGGAACATTCGAAAAGTTGTCCACAGTAGACGAGTTCTGCTCCTCAGGCGAGGTATCGTCTTGGCCATCCTCCTGCGCCGCGGGGGCCGCGGGGGCCGAACCCCCCGAGCTGTCGCCAGAGAAAAGACCGCTGATTCGATCTACCAGGTCACGGGTCTCTTGCGAATAAAACGTGTCCGCGTCGCCAGAGGCCTCGAGTTCCGCTGTCGTCTTGGTATGGACGAAATCAGCAGCAGACGGCTTCTTCAGGACGTTGTCGTCGGTACGGGCCGGTTGGCGAGGCCGGCGGGGGCGAGTGTCGGTTGAACGGCAAAGACCGACGCCAGAAACATGGTTGCCGCCGCAATCGGTACAGCGGACGTCGGCAGGGTGCGGGCATTCCGCCTTGACGTGCTCGCCTCCGCACCGGTAGCAGGCCATAGGCTTTCCGGCGGGGCGGTCGGGACAGTCCTTGCCCATGTGTCCCGGCTTCTCGCAGTTTCGACAGGTTAGCTTCCGGGGACAATCCTTTGCAAGATGTTCGGGAGACTGGCATCGATGGCATGCCGGCTTATCTCCGCTGCCAGAAGCCTCAGTGACGTCCAAGCTTTTGCTAAGGGAGCAAGCAGAAGTTCGATGACCGCCAAGATATGCACAGTTCATGCAACGGGGGGTACCGGCGCATTTGCTTTCCTCGTGGCCCGGGTGAAGACATTTCTGGCACACTACGGTCTTTATGACGGAAAGATCCTGCTGGAGCTTGCTGTATACCATATGCAAATTCTTTGTCATGAGATTGCGCATGTAAGCCTTGGTATTGGAGAAGCTCTGCTGTCGCAACAGAACGATCTCGCCCTGGATGCTGCGCGTGTGGGCAACAGTAATTCGATGGATGTCCCCTGTAAAGCCGGGACGCTCCGTGCGCGTGTAATCGACAATTACCAGGTCCGCCTGTCCGCCCTGAAATCCGTCTAGGGTGCTGACCTGCACGCGCCGGGCCAGCTGATCGGGATCGGTGGCAAAGAGGTTGCGGACGAGCTTTCGGTCGCGCAGGAGGGCCTCGAGTTCGGTGACTTGCGCGTCGTACATGGGGATGATAGCAATGGATCCAGGGCGACTGCCGTCCACAGAAGTGAATTTCGCATCGCGGAAAAAGATCTGAACCATCTCCAAGATGTACTGAATGTGCTGACCATTTTTGAAAGAGAAAGCGACGGCTTCTTCCTTGGCGCTGGTAATATCGACAATGACGCGGGAACCGCTGCCGCCTATGTTTTCCCGAATCATCTTGGAGACGTGAGAGACGGGGGGCGGGAACTGTTCCTTGATTGCGGATCTCATGGTCTTGTCGTAAAACCACCGGCTAGGGTCCTTGCTCAGATTTCCGTATTGGCGATGGTTGTGCAAGAGTCCGTCGAAAGCGACGCCGGCGCGCTGCATCCTCTCCAGACACGAAACGTTCAGCTGAGGGTCGAACGGCGCTGTCATCTTGTTGGGATTGGAAGAGACATAGGGGACGAGCTGGTGAGGGTCTCCGAGAAGCATAAACATCTCAGCGGTGGGAAAGGAAGAAATGCACATGATGGAAGTAAGTTCTCTCATCCGCGAGTTCTCGTCGACGATGACCAGCGTGGGTTTGAAGGCGTCTCTGAAGAAGGTCTCTCGTGCCGCGGAGGGAGTAGCAAAGACGATATCGGCATTCTGCAGCTTCTTCCTGTAGAGTTCCTTGATGTCCCTGGTAGCGTCTGCCTTGAGACTCATGTGTAATTCGTCTCCCTTCATGGCTGCCTTTTGGAACTTGACAATGTTGACATTGCTGGCAGGATTTTCCCGCACGTGCTCGAGGACGGATGCGTGGAGGGAATGAGAGTGAAAGTTCTTGCGTCCGCGCTGTTTGGAGTGCTGATCAGCATAATGTTTGAACTCGTCCAAGACAAATTCTGCGAGGAAATGATCGGCAGCATCCACCTCGTCGGGCCGCTGCTGGCCCTCGTCCTTGGTGCGGCTCAGAGCGCCGACGGCAGCGCCAACCTCGCTGATGATGCCGTAAACCCTCTCCATCTGAGGAACGTATTCGGGGGGTGCGCCGTACTTTTCCAGCGCGCGGCGGAATTTAGGTTCCAAGTCGTCGAGAGCCTGATTGTGAGGAGCTAAGATCAAGACCTTGTGACGAGTCGAGGCATCTTCCTTTGCGTTGGCCGCCAGAAGCATCAGAGTGTAGAACTGGGCAAACTTGGACTTTCCGCAGGCGGCTGTTCCCGGGATCGCAGCGAGACCGCAGGGGATGCGCTTCATGTGATCGGCGAAGGTGGTCTTCTTGGATTCGTCCAAGTCGTCGTACATGCGCTGGAGATGCTGGGGCGCCTCTTTGTTCAGGACGCTGGACATGAAGGGGAAGAGTGCGAAGTGGTCGACGACGAAAGGGGGGGGGCTGCAGAGGCTTGGTAACCACTCGTAGATGCGCAAGGCAAGTTCGCTAGGGCGGGGAGTCTCATCAGGCGTGGACTCGGGATGCTGCATCTCCCCGTGCGCCTGGATCTCCTGTCTAAGCGTCTTGGTATCAGGCTCGACCTGGATCGCGCAAGCGACGGTAGCCGCGTCGAGAATGCGCTGAATGTAGTCGCCATACTGCTCGCCTTGCTTGGGAAGCTGTAGACAAAAGTTGGCCCGTCTTCTGTCACCGCCGCAAGATTCAAACCAGGGCTCTTGGGGCACCTTGGCGACGAAAACCTTGAAAGCGCTGTTGAGGAGGGGCAGGGGATTGTCAGTCACTCGCGCGTGCCACTGGAAGAGACGTTTTTGCATATCTTCGTCTGTCTTGACCACGGGAATCTTCAAGTGAAGTTGGTACTTTTTGGCAAACTCTTGCAGATTCTTGAGATTCACGATGCCGCCGACGTTTTCGCTAGTGGTGTAGATAGCGGTCAGTGCGGTACGTATCTCGGCAGCCATGATAGAGCCGGTCGCTTTCTCATCCTTGACGACGTCGTAGCGCAGAACAAAGTCTTCAGCCTCCTGTTGGGCCTGCATGGCAGAGTACATGAGGTTGGTGAGAAACCCGGGTAGATGCTCGGCGATGTCGACATCGTACTTCTCGTTCTGGACACGACGGAGATCCGAGAAGCAAATCTTGCAGTCTTCGCCTTTGCGGGGGAGGACCAAGTCGCGCTGCAGGGAGATGGCGATAGCGACGGAGGATGGATTTCCGCAGCCATCATAGTTTCCGGGAAGGGAAATTATGTGGCACTGAAATGTCTGCTCCTTCATGTCGTTCGCAACAGCTTGCGCGCGCGCGGAATCATCCAGAGTGCCGTAAGTTTGCGCGACTCTGTACTGGCGCGTGTCGTAGAATTTGATGGAAGCCGGGATGGTGGAGTCGGTGATGGGTCTGGAAACTTGGATGTTGCCTGCACCTGGGTATTTCTCTCCCGTGACAAGAACAGTTCCGCCATTAAGAACCTCCATTCTAGGAGATCGGGCGAACCACGGACGGAGGGGGTCTCTCTTATCCTTATGGATCATGGTGAGCGCAACGAAGACGTTGAGGTTAGAGACTTCGCTGGTGAAACCGTGATCAGGGCCGATCCTCACGACTTTACCAGAGCCACCCTCCGCCTGATCTGACTGGGGGGTCTTGTCGTCGTTCACGCAGTAAAAGGCGATTTCCTTGGGAAACTGTCCGCTAACCGACTCGGCGAATTCAACCATTTGCTTGATTTGAGCCTGCATTTCCTCAGAGTCCGCGACTTTGTTCTTGTCGTGATAGATGAAAGCTCTCGACACGTTGAAGGACAGGCGAAGAACGCCCGTGTCAATCTCTACCGCAGGACCTCCCGATGCGACAAAGCCCTCGGTGATCATCACGGAGGCGCTGTCCTTGGGCATCTTCGTGGCGGAAACTTTCGTGATGGATTGGAAATAAAATTCCATCGCGCCAACCCAGATCTTGCGCATATGCTTACTTTCGGAGAAGCCGTTCCTGTGAATGAGTACACGGGCCTTATTGTACATCGCCGGATGGAATTCCAGCTTGAAACTGAACTCCAGCTGGTCCACGGAGCCTCGTCCGAGATTGACCAAGGTTTCACCGGAATTGATGTTAAGCGGCTTTCCCGCAAGCATCACCAAGCAGTTGATGGTGCGAGAAACCGACGTTGCCGCACCCTGGGGAAGGTCGGTAGCGTCGTCATCGAGGGCATCTTCTTCCTCGTGTGCTTGCTGCTGAGAGCTTTGTCAGCAAGAACTCACGATACAGAAAAGCTTGCCAGACACTTACCTCGACGTCCTGAACGTCCTCGGCCACCCCACCGCCGGGGTTTACATTCTCCCAATCAGACATGATAGGGAGATGACAATCCTGGATAACGTGGTTAGCAATCAGGATGCTTGGACAGTTCTTGATTGTGAACTCTGAGATGAAGAGTGAAGGGGATCAAGTCGAAAATAGGAGGAATCGAAAATAGGAGGAATCGAAAATAGGAGGAATCGAAAAGGGGAAAGAATAGAAAGAAAAAAAATAGATGAAGGGGGAAAAGAATGAAGAATGGGAAAGGAGGAATATGAAGAATAGGAGGACAAGGGGGAAAGGGAAAAGGGGGAGAGGGAAAAGGGGGAAAGGGAAAGGGGTGAAAAGAAAAAGAGTCGTGAAAACAATTTTGAAAAAAAGGGGAAAAAATAAAAGCGAAAACTGACAAAGGATAAAAATAGGAATAGAATGCAATAGTGACGCAAGAAAGATAGAGGAAAAGAAGGGTTCAAAAGG